CCTGCGCGGCGCGCTGCCTACACTGCGATCCGCAGGCGGCAAGGGACCACGACGACGACAGCTGTGTCGCGCCACATTAAGTCCCTGCAGCTCGCTCCCGCCTCATCTTAACCTTCCCGACCGAACGCTTTAGTCCTAACCTTATGCCCCTACCACCACCCTCCCCCTTCCCCCTCCCTGCCACCGCCATCCCCGCGACGAGGAGTGCGGACTTCATTATAGTCGGCTGCGTTTGCTGGTGGCCTTTGTGCCCACCCCGCTCCGCCCCGCCCCGCCCCGCCCCGGCCCGGCCCACTATGAGGATGAGGGCCCCCGCGGATTGATGGGGGTCAGGGCAGCACCTGCTTTACGAGGCCCTCGCTCATCATCATAGTCTCTCTGAACTCGTCCTTCGCCCGCTCGCGCGCGTGCCATCTCTCTCTCTCTCTCCAACGAAGCCCCTCACTCCGTTGACGTGCTGCGTGGGTCCTCCGCGGTGCTCGAGCATCCCCGACGGTTCGTTTCACCTCGCTCTCGCTTCGGCGAGGTCGTTACCGGAGCATCTCCCAGAAGTCCCAGAACACCGTCAAATAAAACGCCAAAATCTCCCTTGAGTTCAGGAAAAAAAAAGTACATACATAAAGATCAAGTACTGACAATCCTTTTTGTCACAGCTGACAGCGTTCATTTATTTTTGGCACGTCCTTCTCCCCAGCCGGGCGGCGGTCCCGGACTAACCGAACTAGCGCTTCCGTTCTGGGAGGGAACTCTTTTTTTGTGCCGCGAGGAGCGATTACTGGGGGAAATAGATACAACACTCCTGGGGCTGGAGCGGGGATCGCAGGGGGTGGGGGTGGAACCGTAAAATGACCCCCCCCCCTTCTCAAAAAAAATGTGAGAAGGAAAACGGTGGAGGCAGACAACGCGGCTTGGCGGGTTGATTCCGTCGCTACGTCTCCTTCGCCCTCATCGGGTGGGCACTTGGACCGCCTCCACCGGTCCTCTGGCCCACTGTCGCCTTGTCACCACACTGCGAAGAGCAGGACGACGACGAGGAAGAGGGGGAGGGGGAGCTGCGACGGGACGTCCAACTGAAAGGACTAACCGGCTTTTCTCGCCCCGGTTCCCGGTTTACGATCGGCGTGCCCAAACGCCTGGAAAATGCCCGCCGTGCACGCGCGGGACCTAGAGGGACCCTGCCCCCTGCCCCCACCCCCGCCCACTTCACCACGCAGAGTGGCCGCGCGCTCACCGAGCGGCGAAGCGGCGAAGCGGCACACTCGTAAAATATTAATGCACTCATTCGTCGGGCGCGCGAGAGCTCAATTTCTCATGGGCCTTAGGGGGGATTGAAGGGAAGGCTGCATGGGCGAGGAGCCAGCGGCGGATCCAGCGCCAACCTGAGGGGGGCGGACGCACAGTGGGCCAGAAGACCGATGGAGGCGGTCAAAATCCCGGATGAGATTTGGGCTCCAGAGTCACTGCGGCTTGAACTGAATGTGTGACCCCACCAATGGATTGCTCTTCGAACGAGGAATCCATTGGTGGGGTCACACGCTCAGTCCGAGTCCTCTTTAGCGACTCTGGAGCTCAAAACGCGTCAGTTTCGGCCGCACGCCGGTCCTCTGGCCCACTGTGGGTCGTCGTTGGCGTGCCTGGCGTGCGAGCAGCTCAACGCCGACGCCAGCCAGCACAATGCGAATGCGTGCACACTGTACGTGCCCAGACACAAAGGGCAGACCCGGGACGACGACTTGTCGTGTGCCGTGCCGGCGTGCCCCGCGTGAAGAGCAAAGCCCGGGCAAAGCGAGGCAAAGCCAGCCGGGCTAAAAAACGAGGAACGCGAACACGAACACCGGAACAAATGACGTTCAGGCTGCCGCCACACTGCCGCCGCCACCGCTGCTGCAGCCGACGAAGTGCATTCCCAGCGCCCCGCGCAGACAATGCACACAATGCAGCGGTGCAGTTCCGAATCGCCATTCGAGTCGCCAGCAGACCGATTTCGAGAGTCTCGCTCTGTCTCTCTCGCACTCGTGGTGAGTCCCGAGCAGGTGCGAGAGAGACAGAGCGACGGAAACGACTCTGCAGCCGCAAATGATGGCATGGCGGCGCGTTCGGCCGCGAGGAGGGGCGGCACTGAATGGCGCGCTGATTGGTTTAGAGGTCCGCGACAGTGTCGCTGCAGTGCGACAGGTGCGGATCCAGGATTCTTTCAAGGAGGGGGTAGGGCAGTACTTTCGACCTAGGGGCAAGGTAGTGATTTTCGCCTCTCTCGTAGTGATTCTCAAGGATGAAAATAATTCATCTCAAACACTCACCGCGGACAAATGAGTCAACGAACCGCGGAATTTCAACGACCCTGCGTCGCTGCGGGAAGGAGAAAGAGAGCGACGACGACGGTGAAGGGAGAGGAGAGGGAAGGGCGACGAAAAACAAACGGAAAGCGTGCGCCTCGCTGCCGCTTGACTTCCGGGAGGATAATTCGCGGCAATCCTCGGCACCGCCTTGTCCCAATCCCCGGCCCATTCCTCGGGGGGAGAAAATTGAAACGCGTTTGAGAGGCCGGCGGGGTCGAGGACAGTCGAGAGCGGAGAGAGAGAGAGAGAGAGAGAGAGAGAGAGAGAGAGAGAGAGAGAGAGAGAGAGAGAGAGAGCAATGAAAAAGGGCGTGCGCCCCTCGGTCCTGGATGACGTCATGACATGGCGCTGCCGCCCTACACCACTTCGTCGGGATGAATTCAGCGGGCGCCTTTTCGGGCGCGCCTCCAGCCGAGATAGAAATCTCTGTTTTTCACGGGGCCGAGCGAGGCCGAGTTTGGGCTTGGCGTGTGGAAGCGCGCCTTCTGACCGCCGCTCTGGCCAAGCAGGCGGCTCGGCTCCGCCATGGCTCCGCTTGTGAATGATGTATGCCTCGTTCCCTCGTTCCCGCGTTCCTTCCAGGACGGTCACCAGCAGCCAGCACGGCAGCCTCATTCCGCGGGGTCGTTTCCGTCACCCTGTCTCTCTCGCACCCACCAGGGACGCCCCACGAGTGCGAGAGAGACAGAGCGACGACTCTCGGAGTCGTCCGCCTGCAGTGTGCGCGAACAGTGTTTGCAGCGACAACAACCCTTGAGCCCATTTCCAGCGAGCGAGCTCGGGTCTTCGCTGCTTGGCCGCTGCTGTGGCGTGGCGCCCCGGCGCGACTACAGACCGCAGCGCGCCGCAGCGTGGCGCGTGTTGACGCTGGGTGGTCTGGCGGCTTGGGGCGGTTTGCCTCGCTTGGCCCACACTGTATCGCGCCTCCCGCTTCGCGCGCCGTCGAGGACGAACGGATTCTAGACACGCCGACAGTGTCGCCGACACCCGGGCAAACAACGTGCATCGGACCCGGCAGGCAAGGCGAGCAAGCAGCCAGGGAGACGGACAAGTCAGCAAAATCAGCAAATTTACGAGATTCGGCCACTTTTTGACCAACTTGGTCGGAAAGTCGTTGCGGTCAAAGCCAAAATCGTTGTGGTCAACGTCTTCCCGATACAGGGCATGAAAGAGTAGGGTCTTAAGAATACTAGGACGTCGAGGGAGGCCTTCTACGGCGACTAGATTGGACACAGTGGCCACCCAAAGTCAGCAGAATCAGCAAATTTACGAGATTCGACCACTTTTTGACCAACTTGGTCGGAAAATCGTTGCGGTCAAAGCCAAAATCGTTGTGGTCAACGTCTTCCCGATACAGGGCATGAAAGAGTAGGGTCTTAAGAATACTAGGACGTCGAGGGAGGCCTTCTACGGCGACTAGATTGGACACAGTGGCCACCCAAAGTCAGCAGAATCAGCAAATTTACGAGATTCGACCACTTTTTGACCAACTTGGTCGGAAAATCGTTGCGGTCAAAGCCAAAATCGTTGTGGTCAACGTCTTCCCGATACAGGGCATGAAAGAGTAGGGTCTTAAGAATACTAGGACGTCGAGGGAGGCCTTCTACGGCGACTAGATTGGACACAGTGGCCACCCAAAGTCAGCAGAATCAGCAAATTTACGAGATTCGACCACTTTTTGACCAACTTGGTCGGAAAGTCGTTGCGGTCAAAGCCAAAATCGTTGTGGTCAACGTCTTCCCGATACAGGGCATGAAAGAGTAGGGTCTTAAGAATACTAGGACGTCGAGGGAGGCCTTCTACGGCGACTAGATTGGACACAGTGGCCACCCAAAGTCAGCAGAATCAGCAAATTTACGAGATTCGTCCACTTACTTGACCATGTCGCAATCTTGCGGTCAAGCCAAAACGTTGTGGTCTAACGCCCGACCAGGGCATGAAAGATAGGGTCTTAAGAATACTAGGACGTCGAGGGAGGCCTTACGGCGACTAGATTGGACACAGTGGCCACCAAAGTCAGCAGAATCAGCAAATTTACGAGATTCGACCACTTTTTGACCAACTTGGTCGGAAAATCGTTGCGGTCAAAGCCAAAATCGTTGTGGTCAACGTCTTCCCGATACAGGGCATGAAAGAGTAGGGTCTTAAGAATACTAGGACGTCGAGGGAGGCCTTTTACGGCGACTAGATTGGACACAGTGGCCACCCAAAGTCAGCAGAATCAGCAAATTTCCGAGATTCCTCCACCTCCACCTCCACCTCCATCTCCACCTCCTCCTCCTCCTGCCCCTCGTTCTCACTGCTGGCGTAACGCGCCGACAGATTGCCTAGCTAATCCCAGCGCGTTCTCCGTCTAATCCGAGGCACGGCCAGGGCCACACATGCGAGGGCGTCCTGAGCGTCCACTTAGCGACCAGCGCAACGCGGCGCAATGTGGGGGCTAAGCCCGACCCCTAGCTACAGTGTAAAAAAAAGAACCGCAAATCTGCCAAGAATACAACGACACAAGAAAAACAAAAATAACAAATAAATGAAAACACGAAAAACACACAAAAGAGACAAAGGAATAAAAAAAATGAAAAAAAAAACGAAAAAACAAATAAACATGGCAAAAAAAAACAAGAAAAAAAAACCAGCGCGGCATGGCGAAGCTTTCCTTACCTTTGTCGTTGGGGTCGAAGTCCGCCATGAGCTGCTCCTTGGAGGGCTCAGCTTCTGCTGCGGGCTGCATCGTGTCCGCCTTGTCCTCCTTGTCCTCCTCCTGGTGCTTCCTGGCGCGGTGTCCCCGGAACGCTGCCTGGATCTTGGTTGCCGCCTGCTCGACCTCGGGGTCCTCAAGATCGATGTCTGCAACGACAAACAAGGACGGGCACGTTAGCGTGCTGTCCCCCTGCACATGCACACGGACACCGAACACACACACACACACACACACGGTGAAAACGGAACCTTGTTCACTTGTCTCTCTCCCACTCGTGGGGCGTCTCGCAGGGGTGCGAGAGAGACAGAGCGACGAGACGAACCCTGGGAATCGCTCGGGGCTGGTGACGCCAAATGGGCCTTGCCGTGCTGGGTTATTTAGGCGTAGGGCAGGGGCCAAAACACATCCCTTTACCCCGCCGCGCCCCCGGCGTCCCCTGCAGACTGAGTCGTTTTCGTCGCTCTGTCTCTCTCGCACTCATGGGGCGCCCCGTATGGGTGCGAGAGAGACAGAGCGACGAGCACGGACCCTCGGAATCAGTCTGCAGGATTTGCAGGTAAGCGGCTCGTCGCGCTGCGCCGCTGCGCCTCCTCATACGGGATTCTGTTTGCCGGGGACAGGCGCCCCCGCTAGCCTCGCGCAGGGCAGGGCAGGGCGGGGCGGCCCCCTCTGGACGCGCCCCTAGCCTCGCGCGGGGCCGCGGGGCGCCGCAGGGTCGCGCCTCGCCTCGACGCGCCCGGCGAAAAGTCGAAGGGGCTCCAGGGAATCCTGGAAGGTTTTCGCTGTAACGAGCTGCACTGTGTCAGCGGGCGGAAAGGGGAAAAAACCTTTTCACACGCACGGATGCCGAGTTTCCCTACACACACACACACACAGCAGGGTGCCCAGATGTTGCTGAAGGCATTCTGCACCATACGTCCCTCCGTAGCGAGTAGCATAAGCAAGAAAAGAAAAAAAAATCGTTTTGCTACCCATATATACAGTTTGTGCCGTTCGGTTTCTCGCGTGTAGTCGCTGCCCCGGGCGTTCAGATATTACCGTTATATCGATATCGGAGTGTAGCCATTTTGCTTCCACTTGGAAGGGAAAACATATTCAGGGTTTTCGTTTTCGTTCAACATCCTTGTTGCCGTGTGTCTGTGCAACAACACTTCACTTTGAAACCAAAACTAAATTGTTCTCGGTGAGCAGCTCTGGGTCAGACCTAGCTGGGTGAGATTCTAAGGGGCGAATGACGTCATCAGGGCTAAAATTCTTCGGCTCAATCACATCTGGGTGAGTGCAAGGATGGGTGCAAGGGCGAGTGGGCCTGTTGGCTGGAATCCTTGTTCCCTGGAACCACGGCCTCACAGTGCAAAGTGCAGCCGAAGTTTCGCTAAAATTCAATCAGGGTAACAGAGTGACAGGCCGGGGAAGCGAGACTCTTGTTAGGATAGGTTATGTTGACTTGGGGAACTACGTGGCGCCTGCCTCGGCCCGCCCGGCCTGCCCCCGAGACGGTTTACTCTGCCTCCAGTGGACTAGTCCACTCGAAACGGGGCAACCTCTGAAACGGCACTGCCCAGAAGGGAGCGACCGCCGAATCCAACAGAACGAAACAGCGCACAATGATGTAAAAAAAAACTAGGAGGAAAAAGAAAAGGGAGAGTAACTAACGCCCAACTAAACAGCACGTTCAGGTGCAAAAAAAGAAAAGAAAAACAACAAAAAGCGTTGACTTTTTGTTTTTGTCACGGACTCCCTTATCGCGCCCAGGTTTTTCGCGTGCTTCCCCGCGCCGCGGCGATTCGTCTTGTGTTTCCAGTCGTGCTGCGTGACAAATCTGTTGCGCGCGCGGCGTCACGCGGCGCCGGAGAAAAATCGGGGACGCAGCCGTGCACACACACAGGCACGCGCGGGACCGCACACACACACACACGCACACGCTAGAGACAGAGCGACGAAAACGACTCTCGGAATGAGTCTGCAGGACGGCGGTGGCGGTCGCCGAGGACGCCGTCGAGGGTGCGGGGCTCTCGATGAGGCCGCCGGAAGTGTAGATCGCTGCCTTCCCTCCCCTCCATTCCCTCTCCCCCTCCCCTCCCTTCCCGGTGAAGACTTTAATAATGGAGTCAGCCAGTGGCGACAAAGTCCACTCAAGTGCCGAGTGGGGCTGCAATCTGCCAGGCAGGCGGGCGCGGCTCGGCGCGGCCAGGCGAAGGCGGCCTCGCGCAGCGCGAGCAGGGAGCGCAGGGGTTCTCGAGGAGCTGGGCCAGCTGAGCAGATGAGGGAAAAGAAAAAAAAACTGCGCTCCGAAAATTCAGCCGATATCGGCTTGGCGGCGCTAAACGCGCTAAGCTGCTAAAGAGCTTCCATTGAAAAGAAAACTGCGTTTTCACCTAAAAAGCGGAAGGTGGGGCAAACGTTTTCCAGTGGCACCGCAAGCGGCCGCAAGCGACAAGAAGGGAGGCTCGCCGCAGTGATGACGCGGTTGGACTCGTGCCTCCCTTTTTCTGTTCATCCCCACCCTTCCTGTTTTTTTCCAGTGGTGGGCCGTGCGACGTGCGGTCTGGCCTGGCCGGTCTGGCTTTGTCGAAGGGATTCACTGACCACATTCAAGGGACGCGCACACAGACGCACCGACACACAGACGCACAGACACGCACACCACTCCCCTTTTTTGGCGTGACAGCTGGCCCTGGCCGGTCTGACAGTGCACCGCGGCCCCCGCACACAACACACACACACCGCAGGCTTTGCAAGGCAAGCGAACCCTGCCGGCGAAAACTGGAGCTTCGCATTCGGCGAGGAGTGCGTTTGGGGGGGGGGGCCTCCCTGCTTGACCCGCGGTGCTCGCAGGGCAGACTGTCTCCATTAAGGGAAAGGTCAAGCGAAAAGGCGTGGGGGGGGGGGGTTGCCACGCGTCCGGCAGGTGAGGGAGATTTACCAGTGTCGGCCGTATTGGGACATCCGACTGCACTGCTGTCGGGGTAGCGGAGCAGGCACGGGCGTTCCGTGTCCAGGCCAGAGCGAACGCCACGGAAAATCGTTCCCGCGAACTGCCGGGCTACACGCCCTTCTCGGCCTGCTGGGTCCTACCCGCGTTATTATCTTACTACCTGACATTTCGACCGAGTGACCTTCTAACCAGTCACCGCCGCCGGCCGTGGGGCGGACCAGCAACAGCACCGGTAGGACAGCCTGGCCGGCCGACACAGGACAGGACCGCGCCACTGTCGGCCACGTCGGCCACGTCCACGGAACACGACGGCCCTGCGCCGTGGTTTCCACGTCGGGCCTTTGCTCCCATGTCTGGTCGGTCTGGTCAAATCTGTCCCCCTGAACCATCTTGACCATCCAAAACATTCTGCTGGATGACCATGACCGATCCCGACCAACCTGACCATCCTCTGAACGTCCGGACCATCCTGACAGTCCCGACAATCCTGCCACATGCAGACGTGCCCACTGCCCATCCGCCCACCTGTCTGGCCAGCTGCTCCCGGCCGGCGCCGCCGTGTCGCGCCGACTCCCGCGGACGTGCAGCGCCGCTGCTACCACTTCGGCCCGATTGAATTATTGGCGTGTTCGGACCCCGGGCGTGCTCTCTGTCGTGCAGGCGGCCCCATCGATCTATCGCCCCATCTCTCTCTCTCTCTCTCTCTCTCTCTCTCTCTCTCTCTCTCTCTCTCTCTCTCTCTCTCTCTCTCTCTCTCTCTCTCTCTCGAGTGTCTGCGTGTCTGTGTACCGTGTGCATGTAAATAATTGGCGAGACAGCTGCACTGCACTTGGAGCCTCCGAAAATCAATCACGTTTTCGTCGTCTTCGTCGTCGTCGCCGCCGCCCTCGCCGTGTCGTGTTGCGTCGTGTTCAGAAAGCTCCTCTCCCTCGCTTTCTTTCTGTCCGAACAAACTCGTCCAGTTCTGGCTGCGCTGGCGGAGGGCTGGCTGGGGAGTACACCGCATGTGATTACTCGGAACCTCGAGTACCATGCATTATGCATTGCGCGCTGTAGCGGCGCGACAGTGTAGCGGTGTCGCACGGTGTAGCGGCAGTGTGCGACAGTGTGTGCGACAGTGTGGAGGCGGCCCGGTCCGTGTCAGTCCGGCGTGGAGGGCTTTACGGGGACATCCCCTATACATCAAGGAGATGGGCCCGGCCGGCCCGGCCACCACACCAACGCCAGCACACCGCCAGCACGCCGCCAGCACGCTGTCAGTCAGTGTGCCAGTGTGTCGCACGCCTGCACGCCTGCCAGCAGACCGATTCCGAGAGTCCTTTTCGTCTCTCTGTCCCTCTCGCACCTGTACGGGGCGCCCATGAGTGCGAGAGAGACAGAGCGACAAAAATGACTCTCGAATCACTGTCTGTCTGTCTGTCTGTCTGTCTGTCTGTCTGTCTGTCTGTCTGTCTGTCTGTCTGTCTGCTTGTCCGCCAGCTTATCTCTCCGTTCGTCCTCGGAGACGACCTTGTGTCACAATACTGTGTGTGGGTGGGTGACTATGAATGCGTGAGGCGGGAAATGTGAGTGAGAGGCATACAGTGAGAGAGTGAGAGATGAAGATTCGGAGGAGCGAGATAGGCCCAAACAAGTGGCCCACTGCACGGCACCCGCCCCTTACACTGTGTCACACACACACACACACACACACACACACACACACAGACGCTCGCACCTCCCTTCCCGTGCGTGTGTCACGTCAAGGTGGCACCGGCTGGGCTGCCAGGCCTGCCAACGAAAACGAATCCCGTGGCCTGGCAGGCAGGGCAGGCAGGGCGGCAGGGCGGGCAGCAGCCTGGTGGCGGTGGCGGCGCGCGGTGGGGCGTGTATGATGTATGACGTGTGACGCCCTCCTGGTTTCAGTCAGTGTGTCCGCTGTGTGCGTGTGTTGGTGTCTGGTCCGCTTCCGCAGCGCCGCCTTGCTTTGGTGCAGTCCAAGACGCCCACAAAAACCGTCACTCTCGAATCTGATTCCTTACATGCTAATTTTAATTGCTGGATCAACAAAAACAGCCAAGCCTGCCTGCCTATCGTCACTGGAAATTTCTTCGTAAGACATTAAGAGTGTACACAATGAGCGATCGTCGGTGGTTTCACTGTCCTTTGTTGTCAATCTTTCTTTGTTTTGTTTTTGCTTTTCGCAGTGTGCCTCTCCAGAGCGTCCCC